TTTTTGATCAATTACCGTACGTATCATTTAATATGTGGGGCCTACATTCTTGTTGAAGTTTTGTAACCGGTTTCCAACTTTCAGTCTAAAAAATTGAGTTACGTGGACAAATAGATGAGCGGTTGCTGAAGGGAGAGTGTTGGAGCGAGTGCTCCTAGCATTCCTCAATAAATAAACTACCCTTAAACCCCACTTTCGTACTTCTCCAGTTTTCAGCCAAACTCCATTTTTTTAGACTCCCGCCGCCACTAAAAGAATGGGCTGCTCCGCCTTCTTCACCGTCCCCGGCACCTCCGTCAATCCGAGGTCCCGCTTCTCCACATTCGTCGTCAGATCATCCGCCTCTGATCTTCCCCACACTTCGGCATCGCCGCCGCAGCCCGTCAAGCAGTACCACAACATCCGCGAAGAAGCCCGTCTTCACAACAACTCAATCGCTATCTCCACCGACCACCCACGCTTCTCCGCCAAGTACGTTCCGTTCACGGCCATCGCAGATCCTTCGTCTTCCACGGATGAGTCATACTCTCTAGACGAGATCGTATACCGATCCCAATCTGGCGCCCTCCTCGATGTCCACCATGACATGGATGCTCTCAAGCACTTCGATGGCCAATACTGGCGTTCCCTCTTCGACTCCCGTGTTGGAAAGACCACCTGGCCCGTCGGCTCCGGCGTCTGGTCTAAGAAGGAATGGGTCCTCCCTGAAATCGATGACGATGATATCATCTCTGCTTTTGAAGGTAACTCTAATTTATTCTGGGCTGAGAGATACGGGAAAGAATTTATGGGTATGAACGATTTGTGGGTGAAACATTGTGGGAACAGTCATACGGGAAGTTTTAAGGACTTGGGCATGACTGTTTTGGTGAGTCAGGTGAATAGATTGAGGAAACTGAAAAAGCCTCTTGTCGGGGTCGGTTGTGCATCTACCGGAGACACCTCTGCAGCATTATCAGCTTACTGTGCGTCTGCCGGAATTCCTTCTATTGTTTTCCTGCCTGCTAATAAGATTTCTATGGCGCAGCTTGTGCAGCCGATTGCAAATGGTGCTTTTGTTTTGAGCATTGACACTGATTTTGATGGGTGTATGCAGCTGATTAGGGAAGTGACGGCTGAATTGCCTATTTATTTGGCGAATTCACTGAATAGTTTGAGGCTGGAGGGGCAGAAAACGGCTGCTATCGAAATCTTGCAGCAGTTTGATTGGGAAGTTCCGGATTGGGTTATTGTTCCTGGTGGAAATCTTGGTAATATTTATGCCTTTTACAAAGGATTTCATATGTGTAAAGAATTGGGGCTTGTTGATAGGATTCCTAGGCTAGTGTGTGCTCAAGCAGCCAATGCTAATCCGCTTTACTTGTATTACAAGTCTGAATGGAAGGAGTTTAAGCCTGTGAAAGCAAATGCTACTTTTGCTTCTGCCATTCAGATTGGTGATCCTGTTTCTATAGACAGAGCTGTGTATGCATTAAAGAATTCAAATGGTATTGTTGAGGAAGCTACCGAGGAGGAGTTGATGGATGCCATGGCGCAAGCTGATTCTACTGGTATGTTCACATGCCCTCATACTGGTGTGGCATTGACAGCCTTGATTAAGCTCAGAAGAAGTGGGGTTATTGGTCCCATGGATCGGACTGTGGTGGTGAGCACTGCTCATGGGTTGAAATTTACTCAGAGCAAGATTGATTATCACTCTAAGGATATCAAGGATATGGCTTGCCGGTTTGCTAACCCTCCGGTTCAAGTGAAGGCAGATTTTGGGTCAGTGATGGATGTTTTGAAGAAGTATTTATTGAGTAAGGCAAATTAGGCACTAATGAGCATGTTAGTTTTGCTCATGTCACCTCATTCTAGCTTGTTTTGGGGCATTGACATTGTTTTTCATTTTCCCTTTTTCCGTTCTTGGGATGGTGAGGGTGTCCTTGGACCAAACATTGTTACTTCATTGTTTGGAGCATTTCTAGTTAGTATTTGAAGTTATCTGAATTGTAGCTCACGGTAGGGAAAACTATGTATTGAACTATGGCAGCGCATTGCCAATTTTGGATGAGCTTGTCATTATTTTAATTTAATGGCATTTTTGTTTCTTAAGCTGCTATTTTTAGGTACTCTGCTATTGAATGCAGCATTCTTGTGTTAGTACTTTGCTTCTTGTTATTTACTGATCCCCAGAGAAATTGATGCTTATGACTTGAACATGGATATATAGTGTAAGGTCTTTTCACTCGTGTTTTTTTTATAAAATCATTTGGGGGTATTAGTGCATTAATTTTTGGTATGGCATGCATAGGCAAGATATGCTAGACATTAAGTACCGTTTTGCCTTTTACAAATCCAATGTTGAGATGCTAAGCTAAATAGATACTGAGAAAAAGATGAAAACCAAAGAATGCATACATGCCAATATGATGAAGTTCAAAGCAGAACCAACACATCTGGCTAATGGCAGTAGCATGTCTACTAGCGTTTGGCTATTGGTTTTTTGGGACAGGAATGCCAAGAATCTGTGCGAGATCATTGAAACTAGGCCAAATGTGCACACACTATTCTAATGAAAAGTGGCGATCATGGCGCTGTTAATGCTAATGGAAGTTTTGATTACCTTGACTCACCTGTTTAAGCTGTATGTGTCTACTTTCTCCAGCCTATAATACATAAAACAATATTGCGTCTTGTACTACGTATTGTAGGAAAAAAAAAAAAAAAAACAAATGCTGCTATGAAAAAATTGGTGATTAACTACTTGCTTGAATTATAAAGCCAAGAGATGTTATCCTCCTGGATTCAAGTTCAATATTGCAGCAATATATGAAGCCGAGGCAAAACTAAAACTCTGCATACAGATTGTCTTAATCCTAATTTTTGCATGAAGTGGGGCATTACTGGTTAGGAACACTACAGATTTAGTTTAGGAAGTACACTGGTGGCCTTTGGAAGTTGAGGTGTCAAACTGATGCAAATCTAAGTTCAGTGACCACTTGGTCTTCTGAGTCATTAACCATTCTTTCTTGTCGTCAACTTTGAAAGTCTACTAGTCTACGGACTTCATGGTATTTAAAAAAAGTTAGATGCTAAAATTCCATCTTGAGTAAAAGTGTAAGGGCTAGTCAGAACAACTGCTAAACCTTTCTCGTCCTCCTTGCTTTCTTTCACGGCACCGCATTTTGTTTCTACACTACAGAAAAGATTGCAATGGCTTTAAAGCTTCTGCGCCGGTCACCGTTCCGATTCGGTTCGAGAAGCCTCTTCAATGTCAGGCTCTTCTCCGATTCACCTACGCAGCAACACACTTCTCCAATTCAAAATATCCAATCTCATCAACACACCAATAGCTCCAAATCTCAGAACAAGGCTTCCTCTCCGTCTTCTCTTAAGGATTCTGAACTTTCCAAGTTCGCCGCTATTGCCGATACTTGGTTAGTGTTTCCATTTTTCATTCTTCGTTAGAAAATTAGGGATTTCTATGGAACTGGCAACTTTAGAGAGAAATTCATGTTTTGTATTGGGGATGTATTGAGTACGCTGCAAGATTGTTGAATTCCATTTATTTTAGGATCCAAACCTATTGAATTTGCTGGAAAGATGAGTAGTAATTAGCGGAACACTCTTGAGCTTAAACCAAGCTGTAAAGTATTGAACAGGGTTGGGATTAGGCGGTCTAGGCACAATGTCTGTTTGTTTGGTATTTTTCTGCACTTCAATTACCAATGTTACCATTGATATTTTCATTGCCATCTCCATTTCGTTTTGCAATTGGTAATGGTTTAGGATGGAGGTAGTTGCATAATAACAGGTAAATTAGATACAGTGCTCCAAGAGACAAGCTCAGGAAATGTTGTGTAATAATGCTAATAAATGCCTTTGAGTTTGAGATCAATTTAAAGCATTGATACGTGTATTCTTTGGTAAATGCTGTTTTTGTCTTCAGGTGGGATTCTGAAGGTCCATTTAAGCCATTGCATAACATGAATCCTACCAGACTAGCTTTCATCCGCTCCGCTCTTTGTCGACACTTCAGGTAGATTGCATTTCTTTTATCATCTTATTTCCTTCTAAGTTTTTCTCACGAAAGAAGACTCAGCTTTATCAACAACGTGACTAGTTATTTCCCCCTTCTAAGGATCCTTGTCAAGCACAACTGCACAAAGCGGTTCTTCATTCTAAATTGCTTCATCCATCTTCTTAATCTGACGGGGTATTTGTCACTTGCATATCTTTTGGGTGCTGAACTAGTTTTTTCATTTTGTAGGAAGGATCCTCTTTCTGCCAGGCCTTTTGAAGGACTAAAATTGATTGATGTCGGTTGTGGTGGAGGAATCCTTTCAGAGGTAAATATGCATGTTGGTGCTGAAACTTTTGAAGGGATACATTTCTTTTCTAAGCTTTGGCAATGGTTGATGTTGCAATTAGTCCTAGCATGTTTGTGCATGAGTCCCAAATAAGAGTCAAATATCATGTTTAGGAATTTTGAATCCAATATTGCACCATTCTCATGCCTTAAATTGCATATTTAAAGTGAGTAGCTTTTTTTTTTTTTTTTTTTCAAGTGCTAAAGCTCAAAAATGAAGATACGATTATCAAGATCTCCTTACACTCCTTATCTGTATTTTCTAGATTGCTATTACTTTTAATTTTTAGTTTCTTTATACTACCTTACCATCATTTCTGCTTCAAAAGCTTAAAGTTGGGTGCATTTTTCTATTCTGCTGGTTTCTGTATATGCATAAAAAAAAACTACTTTTTTTAGTGGAATTTAACGTAGATGTTTTAAATGGCAACGTATATCATGCTTCCTCAGTTCAGTTTGGCTTGATTTGGTTTGTTCAGTTCTTGATGCGTTTTCTTTAGGTGATACTTATACTTACTTTCCTTTGCATCTTAGCCTTTGGCTCGAATGGGAGCTACGGTCACTGGAATTGATGCAGTGGAGAAAAATATCAAGATTGCCCGCCTTCATGCTGTATGGCCATTCTTTAAAAAAAGTTTTCAAATTTTTTGTGTGTTATTTATTATGTTGCTTTTGATATAAAAGGCTTCTTTGAAAATGAAAAGCTGTGATGTTGATTTTCCAAACTCACACTAAGGTGGATGGTTGGATATAGTTAACAACTTTGCCTCTAATGGCTGCTCTGAATACTTTTCCTGATTGATTTATGGATTATGGATTACCAATTTTTTCTGTAGTAAATCTTGTGAAATTCAAGTTTTGTCAATATACTTAGTTGAGTTCCAAATTCCAATACCAGTTTGATTTTTATTTTTGGTCTTCATACCAATTTCTTTCAAATTAATCACTTTTCTCAAAGCAATAACAGACCATGTTAAAAAGTTATGAGCTTAGCTTCGATTGCATGTTCCTGGTTAATGTGTTTTGGACCTGGACATTAATAATATAAATTATTTTCTCAGGATTTGGATCAAGCAACTTCAACTATCGAATACTGTTGTACAACAGCTGGTACATGCTGATGTTGTTTTTTTCTCTGTAGGTTTAGATTCTTGGTAATCTCATTCCTCATTAAAATTGGTGATGATTGTCAGTTTTGTAAACCCTGGCCACTTGTACTGGCTACTGTTGCCCTTTGATCTGAGTTCTTCCAGCTTTTACCATCTTCTGTTCATGAGTTTCCTGGCAGTGAAACAACATGCATAACCTAAATTAGCCATTGATTACATATGATTGTTGTCTTAGATTTTGTTTTGACATGCAACAACTTGTTAGACATAGGGGGTGGTGGGATCTGAAACTACCAAGGCCTTGGTCTACCCTCTCATCAATAATCATTTATGAATAGTTGCTATGAATTTTATATGATTGATGATAGCTTATGTGGGTACATTTTAACGGACAGAAAAGCTGGTTGAGGAGCAAAGAAAGTTTGATGCTGTTATTTCTTTAGAGGTATGCCACCTCTGTATGTATACTCCTCCCTCCACCCCGTTTTCTATTCTCTAAGCTGTTGGTATAAGATGGATCAGCCAATGTTTTTATTTCATAGAATTATTTGAGTTATTATTATTATAGTCGCCGTTATCGTTGTCATCATAATAATCTTGATTCTTTGTTTCTCTTTTGGGTATCATATATCTCTTATGTCACTTCCAACGATTATTATGATTGCAAGGATGTGCACTTAGGAATTTCTGTATTGTGTTCTGTGGCATACTAATGGCATTAATGATGTTTTATTAATGATGATGTTTCTAAAGTAGCTAAAAGTATCTTTAAGGCCTATTCAAGTTTCTTTTGTTGATGATTAAAGCCTGTCAATCGTTTATTACATAAAATTCCCTCATTTTTATTAAGTAAATCTTTTATGTCCCCTCAAGGCATCATTATATATTTGTACCATGTTCTTTTATGGGAAATTGATGACTTGTATTTAAGGTGATTGAGCACGTAGCAGATCCCACTGGATTCTGCAAGTCACTGGCAGCATTAACTGTTCCTGGGGGGGCTACTGTCATTTCAACAGTTAACCGTTCTATGAGATCTTATGCAACTACCATTGTTGCAGCAGAATACATCCTCCATTGGGTATGATTCTATCATTATATTCGCATCTTATCTGCTATTTTAGGCATCCACTGCATTGCTGTAAACTCTTTCCTACCCAATGGAATTGCAATTGGATTGACTTTTCAAATGTACGTGTTTCTATTCAAATGTCTCTTGACATATGTAGAGGAACATTCAGTTTAGGATATGTTTTCATGCTTCAATCTGGTTCTCTGAGAATGAAGCTACCAAGATTTATTTTGAAATTTGGTTGTCTATGACATATTTAGCATATATCATGTGGTTAAAGTCGATCGGTTCGGTGCCGAGTAGATACTTGGGGAAGAAAAAATGTTTGAGATCTATTTTCATTCCTTGTTTTACAACATTGTTTTTCTCTTTCTAGATATGGTGGATATAGATCTAAATGCACTCCCTGTGAAGATTTTGTAAAACAATTCTTTTTGGAGAAATATATTTACTGGCGTCCAACATTCCTCTCCTTAAATGGAATCTCAGACCATGTTACTGAGTTGGTTGGAAATGTTCTTAGCTATTAAAAGCACAATTTGTACAATTTTTTCAAACATTGACTGCCCTTAGGAGGATAAGTGGTACAGTATCTGTTACTAACTGCAGACCCTTTTTTTATACAGCTTCCAAAAGGTACGCATCAATGGTCAAGCTTCCTCACACCAGAAGAACTCGTTCTGATTCTACAGCGAGCTTCAATCAATGTAAGCTAAGTAACTGCTGTCATTTTGGTTCCTATCACTGAGAACTTCAACATGCATCGGCATTTGGTAATGAGTTTTGTGCTTTGTCTGTCTAGGTTCAAGAGATGGCTGGATTTGTGTATAATCCCTTGACAGGAAAATGGTATTTGTCAGATGATGTTAGTGTCAACTACATCGCTTTTGGTACAAAAAATGACCAATGAAGGGTTATGAAGCGTATGTTCTTTCCCTCAGATTAAAATTGTAGAAAAAAAAAAAACCGACTTTAAGTCATCTTTTTTCCATTTTTCCATTTTTTTTTTCAAAAATTTGCAAGTCTATTCAGAAAAAGTTGCAAGTTATTATTGAACCCTTGTGCTGTTTTTATGATTTAATCAAGGAAAAGGAATATTCATTCTTCTTCATCATACATGCTGTAAATGTACATTAACAAATTGTAACAAATTGTTAGTTCAAAACAAAAAATAGAAATAACACATCCATCCAACTGCATTACAACTCTCCTGGTGCATTTCAACTACTTCAAGTCTTCAATAAATATATAGACATCTGAAAAAAACCTCGAAGAAACATATTTTTAATCCAAAAAAAAAGAAGGGTGGGGGGGGGGGGGGGGTTTAGGACTAAAAAATGAAAAGAAAAGGCCAAACTCAACTTAGGTCTTGGGCTTATGGTTAAAGGCTGTCTCGGCTTGAGCTTGGGGCTGGGTCTGGCCCAAGATTGGACCTTCCTCTTCGTTTCACAGAATCCATCTTCTCCAGCTGCAAACCTGCTCTGAATCTCGCTATGAAGTCATCAGCCTTGGTGTTTACGTCGGGGCTGGGGCAGAACATCGCCGCCGATGAATCTCCACCGTCCGATTCACCCTTTTTACCATTTGATGGGCTCGATTCACCACTCAATGGATCCTCAACCCCGTCCGAATCCGGTGACCCACTACGGGAACTCTGGAAGCTTTTTAGCCGGACAAAGTCACCCTGCTCTACAAATTTCCATTCCGGCATTTTGAATGGTGGCAGAGGCGGCGGCGGTGGAATGGGGATCGATGGTGAGTCGTTGCCACTGTCTGTGCTCTCTTCCACGTTGGTAATGCTGCTTATCTTTACAGGCAGTGGAGGTTTACTAGTTGTCACTGGCGCTTTCTGGGTTACCACCCTTGACGCCCGTGCTTCCAGTGGTTTTGGTTGAGGCAGCGATGGTGCGTGAGCTGGGGAGGGTGTTTTCTTAGCCTTGCTTTTCTTGCCCGAAAAGATGTTGTGGAAAAAGGCAGGCGGAGGTGGTGGCGGAGGTGGCGGAGGAGGTGACGGTGGCGGATACAGAGGCAGAGTAGAAGATGAAGGTTCGGGGTTAAACAGAGCATCGAGATTTTCTACACTCCTCTGTCTCTGCTTCTTCTTCTTTCTTCTGAGTGAATTCAAGAAATCTTTTGTAGCGCTGCCTCTCTTTTTTTCACTTTTACTACTCTTTTCAAACAATGGTGGAGGCGGTGGTGGCGGAGGCGGAGGTGTAGACGGAGTTTGTTGCTGAGGATTTGTTGATGCAAGATCTTGGTATGTCCGCTTCGGTTTTCTCCTCACGGCGTTAGGAGCTGGTCGTGGAGGCGATGGTGGCGCAGGCGGGGGTGATTCTGGCTGTGGTGGCTGCGATACTGGCCTCGGCGGTGATGGAGGTGGAACAGGCTGAGCTGGCGGCGATTGTGGGCGCGAAGGAAACTGATGACGCGGAGCAGCATGTGAAACACGCCGTTGCGCTTCAGTCACGATGCTATCAATAACTATGTCCTTTGGTGTGCTGCCAAATCCCCCTTCGTCCTCACGCTGTCCCCATGACCTCCGATGATAAAGCTGATTCGAACTGGACCCACCGTAATCATAGACACCAGTATCATCATAAAATCGCCGGCGATCATCATCCACCATCCACGACGACTCCAGCCGAAGATCTGGATAGGAATTGCAACTCCTCATCCTCCTCAAAGAATTTCGATCTGAAAACTCATACCATTGACGAGGTGTTGATGAGTTCGAATTCGATCTTTGACCAGGAGCAAACGAACTTCTTCCCTCGGAGCCGCCGTTGTCATCTCCGCTTCCATTTCCGCTCAAAAATCCACAGACGATGGCGAACAGCACCAACACAAAATTAAGAGAATTCCATCCTTTCTTTACGGAATGAGGACTAAAAATTTGGGAAGTGAAGGAGAGAAAAGAAGGGATGACGAAGAAAATAAAAGCCAAGGCGACGAATACAAGGAGGATTACCAAAAAACCGGTATTGAAAAAGAAAGATGAGGATTGGCCGCCACCGCGGCTGCTGCTGCGGCGGCGGCGATCACGACGGTTATCGGTGGTTTGGAGCCAAAAAAATGGCGTGTCTCCCTCTTCCTCCATTTTTTGATTTCGTTGTTTGGTATCAACTTTTTGCCTTTTGCTTGTGGTGGTTTGCTTTCCTTTACCTTCGCTGTGATGTGTGCTTATATAACTTATTTAAGGGGTTTATTATGGTAGCTGATAATGGGAAACGGTGGAAATGATTAAAAAAATGTTTCTTTAAGGTTAATAATTATGATATATTTATTATATTTTTTATTATAAATATGTATAAAATAAAAATATAAAAATCAAAACATTTTTATGTTGTATGTCTATCACAATTATTTGTTGTGGATTTTAACGGATAATTGTAATGGATGTCATTAGTGTCAAAATATTTTGATTTTTTAGATTATTTTATGGAAAAAAT